TGCTCACCATGTGGGCTTGGGGCAGGTGGCTCCCTTCTGCCTCCGAAGGCCCCATCCACCTACTAGGCCTGGTAGGATGGGGACCTGGTGGGCAACCTGGGCAACATGCAGCAAGGCACCCTGGCCAGCAGCTGCCTGAAATCTCCGCAGGCCCCAGGCAGACCTCTTGGAGCATCCTGCCCCAGTCAAGCCAAACACCAGCTGTCCAAAGCAGTGTCAGACGGATCACACAGAGAAATGGCAGATAATCCCCAAACATGATAACTGGGTGCTAACTGGGCAGCTCAGAGCCCCTCCTCTTCTGGGTCCCTTCTCTGTCCCCACCCTTAGCCACAGGTGGAGGAAGGAGGCCTAGATGATCCATTCACTGGACAATTAGGACCCTCCCTCCCACTCTCCAGTCTCCCCAAATTCTCTTCTCCCTAACCACCCTGCAACTGCCCGGCCACCCTGGTGTGTCACTCCCACCAGTGTCCAAGTGTCCCCTCCACCCCAGAGCCAGCAGGATCAGCCACTCAGCAAATATTCTCCAGGAGCAATTGGGTGTGATGGAACGAGGGCTTATCAGCTCCCGAGTAAAAGTCTCTGGATATCATTTAATGGCACAAAAAAATAAAAGGCTCAGGCCTCCCGCCTGCCACTGCCGGGACATCATTAATCTCCACAGAAAGGCATCAGTGCTTCTATCACGGCAGCCAGCCCTGGCGAACCAGACAAATTACAGACCCGAGCCGTGTTCTCCATGGGGCGGTTATTAGATTGGGGTTGAATCCTTGCTGTTTTCATCAGGGACACCGTTCTCTGACAGGAGGTAGTGCCCTGCCAAGCTGGAGGGTAGAGCAAGGCTGAGCCCAGATAAAAGGGCAGTGCCTCGGTTAGATGCAGGTCACCTGCCTGGGGGAACAGGGCAGCTCAGAGCCAAGTTCTCAGGCCCCTGCAATACCTGTCCAGGGCAGGGTCCAACCTCAGGGGCTCAGCCACCTGGCCCTGCCTCAGCCTCCTGACCCCGACAACCCAGGTCCACCAAGGACCAAGTGACAGGTCTGGTGGACAACATCCTTTGGCCAGGAAGTACTGTCTTGTGCCAGCTAAGAGAGGCCCTGCAAATGTCTGCCAGGGCCCGGTGGCAAAGCTGCGCTGCTGGCCAAGGACTTTTTTTGAAGGACAAGTTTATCATTTATCTACTGTTAATTGTCTTGCATTAGAAATTCATGGAGAAAACTGGGCATGGTGGTGCAGGCCTATAGTCCCAGCACTCAGGAGGCTGAGGCAGGAGGATTACAGTGAGTTCAAGGTCTGCCTGGGCTACATAGTGAGTTCAAGACCAGCTTGGACTACATAGTGAGGAGAGAGAGAGGGAGGGAGAGAGAGAGAGAGAGAGAAGATAGGAGAGGAGACGGAGGGAAGGGGAGGGGAAGAGAGAAGAGAAAAGGAAAGGAAAGGAAAAGAAAAACTCATGGAAGACAGGAGTGAGCATGGGTAAAGCAATAGCCTGCTCCCCACACCTGGCGGAAGCCACAGGATGCAGCTGCCGTGTTCCATAGAAGGCCCTTGCTCCGGGATCTGAGGCTCAGAGCACAGATTCTAGCCCAGGAGCTGTCCACCCCTCCTCCCAAGCGCTGCCAGGGGTTGGGGGCCAGGGTAGGGGACCACCATTTCTCCCTCTCTTGGAGGCTGGCTTAGCCCTAAAAGCCTCAGTGGAGCTGGTCAGGAGCACACAACAAGCCACTCCCAAAACATGCAAAGCCAGCCCCACAGATTCAGGACCTAGGGGTGGAGAAAGTGACTGTCAAGACCTGGCCCAGAGCCAGGTGCAAACCTTCCAGCCGTGGCAGTCCCTGGGACTAAAGCCCAGAGAATGCGCTCCCCTCTCCACCACGGAAGATGGGGGTGTCCCCTGTGTCGAGCAGCTCAGGCACAAGCAGTAGCTCAGAAACCCGCCGGGCTTTAGGTGAGATGTCCTAACTCTCCCCTCGGCCTCCTCCTACTCCAACATCTTTAACAGCCACAGCTCTTGGCTGACATCAGCAGCGACCTGCAAGCGAGGGGATGGATGGCCTCTAGGCGGGGCTGCCTCAGCAGGATGGGACCGTCACCCCTCGGGTTGAGCAGAGATGGACCCATACATCCTGGGAGACAGCCCTGCCTTGAGGAGCCCGCGCCCCTGTACTGTCATCTCTAGGCAGCTTAGGAAACAGACACCAGACGCTCACTGCCCTGGCCAGCCCTAGCCCAGCCTGGCTGCTAGTGCAGTGGCCCCAGCAGACGCAGCCCTGCCCTCTTCCTGCACAGTAGCAGCCTCCTGGCACTCAGGGACAGGGCCACACCATACAGGAAGGGGCTTTCCTCTGAGCGGTGACCACGGAAGCCACAGAGCCCATCTCTCCCCACACACCCCTGTGGGCCTGACTCAACCCTTTCCCTTCTAGAACTTGCTCAGGGTCAGTTCCTCTCACCCTCTGCGGCAGGAAATTGGGGGGTGGTGAGGAGTCCTGGTGAGCCAGAGGAGGCAGCCAGCACAGGGCCTGGGTGTGGGGAACAGCTGCCAGAGGAGCCCGAGGACCAGACTTGTCAGAAGTGGGACTGGGAAGGGGCCTAAGACCCCAGGGACACTCCGAGCTCATGCAGGAGGTGGCATCTGAGCCTAGGGAGGCCAGCTCTGCTGAGAAAGGGGAGCAAGGGGATTTCTTTCACTAGCTTGCCCTGATCTCGTGATGGGTTTCAATTCCTTCCTTACCACCCAGGTTCCTTCCTGCACTATTGAGTGGGGAAGGCCCCACTGTCCCCTCATGCCTGCCACCCACCAGATCACCCTTGAGCCCTTTCCCTGGCACACACACACACACAAAACGATATGCCGGTGTGTGTACATAGGCATGCACACATTTTTCCAGGGTTCTGATACCAGAATTCCTTTCCAGCCAAGCCAGCCCCAGGGTGCAGAGCCTCGAGCCAGGCACAGTGCCTGTAAAACCGTGGGAATGCCCATTACATTCAGTACCCATCCAGTAGGGTAGTTCTCAGCACCTTTGCCACCCTTCACCAAGACTCCCTCAAGGCCCTCTCTCTCCAGCCCTTCAGGTAGGCCAAGCATCCCATTGCTGAGGCAGACAGGATGGAGGGAAGCTGGAAAGGACTTGCCTTGTCTCTGTCCCCTAGGACAGGGGTACGGGCGTCCCCAACCCCCAGGTTGGCTTGATACCAGTCCACGGCCCGACAAGAAGCAAGCCACACGGGAGTTGAGTGCTGGGCCAGTGAGCAAAGCATCGGTATCTACGGCCCATCCACATCACTGGATTACCACCTCTTGTCAATCAGGCATTAGCTTCTCACGGGAGTAGGAATCCTACTTCAAACTGCACAAGTGCATGCAAGGGATCCAGGATCCAGTGCTCCTGTGAATCATCCCAGGTGTCTTCCTGGAAACTGGTCCCTGGTGCCAAAAAGGTTGGGGACAGCTGCCTTAGGAAGCTCCCTCCCTGTACCCCATCCTGGACCCAGCCTCTCATCTGTAAGCCAGGGGTAATCACAGTATTCAACAGTTGGACTGATGTGAAAACTGAGTGAATTATTGTTCATGATCCAAGTGACACACAGGAGCACTACAGAGGTATGTTGTTGCTGGCATTATTATTTGTTGTATCATCATCATCATTGTTGTTATTATTATCATTGGGTGGGGGTAAAATTAAAAATTGTCCTGTCCTTAAGAATATTGTTGAAACACCAGTGGCCATGGGAGGGAAGAGGAATGGAAGGAGAAACACACTTGGGTGGACTTGCTCTCTCACTGGTGCTGTGAAGAGGGTGGTAGATACAGACGGGGCCGACAGGTGGAGAAAGGTGGTCTATGACTCTCAGGGAATGTCTGCAAAAGACTACAGGCAGCCAGCTCGAGCCTCTTCTGTCTGGGGGTGAGAGGTGACTGTCATCGCCCATGGCACATGAGCCACTGCCTAGCTGTGCCCCAGGAAAGGCCACCCCTCCTCCAGGGAAGGTTGCAGATTTATCCCCCCAAATCAAGAGAGCTCCAAAAGAACAAAACTTACAGGATGCATTTTAATTCCAGGTCAATTTAAATTCTGAATAAACAATGAAAAATAATTCAGTGTAAGTATGCTCCGTGCAATAGATGGACACACACAACAAATTATTTGCTGTTTATCTGAGATCCAGACTTACCTGGGCTTCCTGTGTTTTCCTGGTAACCATCCACCTAGGGTGTCTGACGCTCAGGGTTTGAGAAACAGGAGTGTGGGAATTTGCCTCTGACCACTTCTCTCAGCCTCTCGCCAGTACTCAGGGCAGTGCCCTCCTTGCCCCGCCATGAGGCCTGTGCACACTCGCCCGGAAGATGTGTCCCCTGTTGTGCTGTCCCCTGAGGAGGACCCCCTCTGACCTGAGTACCAACTGGGCTTCTCCAGTTCCCACCCTTATTCCTCCTCCAGGATCCAGGCACTGCCTATCTACGTCCGCTGAGGGGAAGGAGCCCTGCTGCAGGTGGTGGCCAGGATTCAGGGGAAAAGATCATAAGAACAGCATAGGCTCATCCGCCAGGATCAACTCCGGCGGCTAGGGTGACCAGGTATGGCGAGGAGCAGCAGCACTGCAGCCTCCATTGTGGGGTCGGGAGATGTGCAGGGAGAGGGGGTTTGGCGTTTCCTTTCTGCATAGTGCAAAAAGGCAGCAGCATGTTAAGTACAGGGCCCAGGGAAAGGGACACGAGGTGGCCTTGACTCAGCCTGGGCTTAGTCCCCATGGTCCTGGCAAGTAGGTAACTGTGGTGCCACTTCTGAGGGACTGTACTAGCGTACGGGGGCTCCCCTGCAGCCAGAGACCAGAAGGCTGTCCAGGCACTGTGCCCCCACAGCCAGAGGGGACCAAAGTCATCACCTGCTGTCTGCAAGTCCCCAGAGCTGCCTCTCACCATCGGGCCCCTGCAGCCCTCAGGCCAGTGGTTCTCTCTCACTGCCTCCCTATGGCCTGTCTGTCCTTCCAAGCTCTTGGGAAATGGACAAATTTTTGTACCGGTTCCACCTGAATGAGCCTGAAGTAAGCACCCAGTTCATGACACAGAACTACGAAGACTCAGCAATGTTCCAAGCTTCCGGGGAAAGGGGCAGCTAGCCCAAGGGCAAACATGAACAGAGATAACTGCCTGCTGGGCCACAGGCTTCACCTTCCAGGTGTGGGTCCACAGGAGTCCTGGGACAAGGCCCTCTTTGGGTATGGACCCCTTCTCATTTAAATTTTAAAAAATAAAAATAAGAGGTCATCCAGTGCTTGTTGTTTTGCTTCCTAATCTGTCTTCTTTGGAAAATCAACGAAGGGAGCTGGGCATGGTGGATCATAGCTGTAATCCAGGCACTCTGCACAGATGAAGCAAGAGAATTGCAAGTTCAAGCCCAGCCTGGGAAACTTAGTGGGACCTAGTTTCAAAATAAAATAAAAAAGCCAGGGACATAAATCAGTAGGAAGACCCTGAGTTTACTCTGCAGTAACAAAAAATGGGGGGGGGGGGGAGAAAAGAAAAGAAAAGAAAAGAAAAAAGAAAAGAAAAGAAAAGAGAGAGAAATCAATGGGAAAATCAGCCAACATCCAGCAACTAGGGCTTGGGGCTTTCTGGTAATTGAAAGTGGGTGGGGCTGGGGGATGGATTGATAGGAGATGGGGATCCCTAAGCCTGAATTGAGCCCTCAAGCAAATTGCTCATCTCTCTGAAGCTCCACCTCCTCAGCAGTGACAACGAGGTGGGAAGGAGCCGTAGGGGACACTGCTTTATCTCCATGGACCTTTCCAACTCCAACACTCAACAGCATTCATTGAACAAACATCGCGGACACCTGTCCTGTGCTAGGCCTGGAAATCCAGAGGTGAACAGGCTGAGCAAGGTGCTGGCCTTGTGCAGTGGGGTTGGGGTGGGGGGGCGGATATCAGACAGGCCCAGGCAAATGATAACAAACTGTGATCCGTGTTATGAGGATGGAAAGGAGGCCTGGCTTCTAGTGCGGGTTGAAGGCTCAGGCAAGGCCTCTCGGGAGAAGTGATGTTTAACTTCAGGGCTGGGAGGTAGGGTAGGGTTAACTTGGTGAGTGCAGACAGGGCCAGAGAGCATCCCTAAGCTCCTCCAAACTGCAGCAGCTGGCAGGAGCATATGTGGCATCATCCAGAAAATGAAAGGCCAGTCGTGTAGCTGAAATGAAATATATAGCAGGTGGGCAAAGGCCAGGCCAGGCCTTGTGGCCATGCTAAATTTTGGATTGTACCCTACAAGCACCAAGAAATCACTGGATGATAAACAGACTGGAAGGTGACTGGTGACACCCCCAGATGTGTGCTTTTGGAAAGCTGTGAGGAAATGCCTTAGTATATCTACGTGGAGAGGATTTCAGCGTCCGCATCCTTGGACTGAGCTATAGGCCTCTTGACTTCCCTGCCCAAGGACCCCCTGGAGACCCCTCTGCTAGCCTCCTGCGCAGCCTAAAGTGTGGCCTCTCAACTCACCCCGCAACAGGTCCTCAGCTCAGTTTCCCTCCAAGAGTTAATAAACCCCTCTCCTTGGCCAGGGTGCAGCAACGTTGGTGACTCACCTGTGCAAAGTGCTTTGAGGTCACCAAATGAAAGGAGCAGGCTGAGCTGAGCATAGGGTTATTACCTTCTTCGAGGTATGTGCCATGTTAGCTGCAAGGCAGCAGGCCCTGGCTGACCTGAGGCCCAGCTGAGCACATTTTCAACTAAACAGTTCCTGAGGTGGGATCTGAAGAAGGAAGTAGGGTGGGAGATGGAGTTGGTGACCAGAGAGGGAATTGGGTGATGCCTCTCTTCTGTTGATAGATTCTCTTCCATGCCCAGGTAGTGGACAGCAGATAGCAGAGTCCTGTGCTTTAGAAGGAAGTTTAATGCCTGCCCAGGGCAAAAAAAACAACTCTCCCCATTCCCTTCCATTCCACCAGGCAAACCCTAAAACAGAGCTAAAATAAGGAACAAAAGGAAGCACCCTTCTGCAGGGTCATGGAAGGCAGCCTGGGAAGGAACTCTCCGGGTCCCATACACCTTAGGACCTTCTCCCTGCAGCCCCCACCCCACCAAGCACAGAGTATAATTGGCAGCTCCAGTTGGTGCCCAGGGCCAGGATAAATAGAAGGTCAGCTTGCTAAAGCAGCCCCAAATTGAGACATATCCTCCCCTCTTCTGCTTTTAATTCCTTGTGGCTAGCCTGTTTATTTTGGGTAAGGGAAAAAAAGTCGGATGTTTATCCTTCGAGGAAATTATCGGCTTGCCTGCTTTCCTTTCTTTCTCCCCTCCTTACTTTATCCTGGCGTTCTGAGATTTGGGTTCCGTGGCAGGAGAGACCCCTACCCTCCTGGCCGCAAAAAGTGAAAAAATAACACAGCTGGCCCGGATTGTAGGCTGAAGCCAACCCTACCAGGCAGTCCCTGGAAACTACAGAGAAGAGGCAGATAGAGGAAACCTGGACGCCACAGGGGGACTGGGAGAGCCACCCTGGAGGAAGTGTTTTTGCCTCTCACTCCTTTTCACTACTTCTGCCAGGTGGAAACAAAATGGACATGCAAATTGCTTGAGGTCTCTAATGAAGCAGCCAAGAAAGATGTAAGGGAGCAGTGGTTACCTCTTTGCAGGGATAAAGAAGACTGACGTTATCATCATCACTGTCAGATACCATTTTCCAAGCACCTTCTACATACCAGGCACCGTGCGGAACACTTCCCGTGTAGTGTCTCATTTAATGCATTCTCACCCTGCTTCTCAGCCTGCCCAGGCCTTCAACACATTCTCTCATTCAATTGTCCCAACAACCTAATAATATAGGTGGTGGTGTTCTCGTTTTCTAGATGAGGAACCAGATTCCCTGATGTGAAGGGGCCTACTCCCTGTTCCCTATAGCAGTAATGGAATCTGGTGTTAAGCCCTCTTACCTTAGTATTTAGAGGTAAGTAGCACTTTATTCCTACTCTCTGGTAATATAAAATAAAGACTTATCCATTTAAGAGCTGAATGGGCCAAAGAGGAAAGGCTGGAAGTTCCAGAAGAGTTTAAAGCTTTAGCCATCCTGGACCAGGTATGATTTGGGGGGTGGGGGTGGCTTCTGAATGCTCAAGGCAATAGCCTGGCCCAGCCCATGGTCTCATGCACACACACACACACACACACACACACACACACACCCGTGCTCAGTACCCTGTTTACCAGCCTCAGCCCTTTGACTCACCCTGCTCCCTCCCCATCACACCTGTGTGATAACTGTCCTTAGGGAAAGAAGAGAGGTGGGAAAGGAGGGAAAGCCACCTAGCAAGACTCAGTGGGTCACCACGTGGTGGTGATTCCGATGGTGATGATGGTGATGGGGTGATGATTCTGATGATGGTGGTGGTGACAGTGATTGTGATGGGCCCAGGGGTTAGAGCTGAGCAGCACTGGGACAGGAAGAAAGCCTCACATGCATAGTAGGTGGGATAGTTTTAAAAGCATACGATCTCTTATCAAACAGACTTAAATTCATATAAAATTTCTACTACTTGACAGCACAGTGACTTTGGGCAACTTACTTAACTATTTCAGACCTGTGTTTCGAGTGCAAAAAGCAATATAATGAAAATAAATGCCTTCTGCCTAAGACAAATTACAGTGGTCTTTTTTGTTTTGTTTTTGGTACCGGGGATCGAACTCAGGTCCTTGTGCTTGCACAGCAGGCATCGAAACCACTGAGCTAAATCCCCAGCCCAAGTTACAGTGGTTAAATGAGATAGCATGGCAGCTACCAAGCACAAGGCCTGGCATGCAGACTGTTCAGCAAATGCATGAATTCTCCTCCTCCCCTGCCTCCTCCTCACCTATTCTCCCCAGCTCAGCTGGAGCAAGCCAGCCGTGAGGCTTCGAGTAAAGGACCATCTCTCCCAGATGAGAATCCTTCCCACAAGACCTATCAGACCCTCAGCAGCCCCAGGGAAGGGACCAACTGCCAAGGGAGCCCCAAGCCCAGCCAGTATCCCCCTCCCAAGCTAAGCAAAACACTGGAAAGCTTGGATCAGGAAAGACACCCAGTTCCTTAGCAACTAGCACACATTTCCCTGTAAAGACAAAGACCCTTCACTCAGAATGCTCCCTCCCCCCAGCCTCTCCAGGTGTCTCATCGACTTTGCAGGAGTGGGGCTGAGGGCTGCTCACTCCCAGAACCTCTGGGGACTTCTCGGCCCATCCTCTTGGCCATCCTGAGAGCACCTGTAATGGTCCCAGGACACCTTCCATCAGATGCTAATTAACTGTCCTCTCTACCCCCAGGAGCTGCTGGGAGATGTGTGAGACACATGTGTACACACACACACACACCACAACTGCCCATATTTCCTGTCTGAGACTCTTGCTCCATTTCAGAGACCAGGAAACTAAGGTGAGAGACAGGAACAGTTCCCTAAGGGTTTCTGTCTGTCTCCTCCTCAGTGTCTGGAAGGAGAAACAGGAGATGAAGAGGATGGTTCAGAGAGGGAGAGACAGAGGACAGTGTCCCTGGATATGTTAGGGGACAGGAGACAGGAAGGGAAAAGCCTGCAGGCATTCATGCCAGGACAGTGTGCTTAGCTCTGAGTACAACCATGGGACCACCAGGCATGTCATCCTGTTCAACACAGAATGCACATCTTAAGGGACAAGAATGAAATGATCCCATAGGAAAGGAAAAGAAGAAAAAGAGAAGGAAACAAAAAAGGGACATGGCCATTTGCTCTGGGATAGCTGGCAGAACTGCTGATGGGAAGTCAAGATCTGATTCCAACCCTAGAGCTCCTATTCACTGCTATGTGAGCCTGGGCTGGTCAGCCACCCTCTCTGGGCCTCATTTTCCCCATCTCTAAAGCAGCTTGGGATGGATGTTCTCTGAGGCCCCTCCAGCTGAATGACTTCTGATTCTATATGGGCATTTGGGGGCAGTGATAGAGAAGCCACTACTACTCTCCCTTTGGCTGAGAGCAAGTGGAAGCCACCAGAACAGGCAGAACCGGCGTTATCAGACAACATCAAGTGTGTTTGGGTGCAGGAGCCAGAAAACCCTAGTGGAAGACCCAGGTTAAAGATGAGTTTACAGATGTAGGGAGCTAGAGACCTGGGATTGC